TGATTAACCACTTAAGGCTTTAACAATCTAACAGAAAGTTGGTCTTCAGACAACAATTCTGACGGCTAAAGAACCAAATGGGACAGGCAAAAAAAAAAAAAAAAAAAAAAAAAAAAAAAACAGACTTAGTGATTCGTCACCTTTTTTAATCATAGGGTAAAAGCAGTTAAAGCTCCTCCCACTACAGTCCATGACCATAAATAACACAGTATGACTGTAACAAGATAATAAGGTACTCTGAGTAAAATTTATTTTTAATCAATTAATTTTCAAAAATGTTCAACATTTTAAGGTCAAAGCTTCCAGCTTGTGAGGATGCACCGCTTTTCTTTTTCATATGACAGCAAAGTTCTAACTTTTTGGACTGTTTAACATTTTACAGACCACAAATATGTTTGAGCTTACCTTCAAATACAATGCACTGTGTGCTACTAAAAGCCTTTATATGCTGGATTAAAAGAAGATGTAGGTCAACACCTACATAGATTTTGAAGTAGGTTAAATAGTGTGTGTGTGTGTATGTGGGGGGGGGGGGTTTAATTAACTGAAATAGAAGAAATAGAAATAGAAGGTGACTTACACGATGTTTTGCACTTACAAAACGAAGAAACGAAGTAAACGAGAAGAAAATATTAAAAAGTGTCTTGTTTTAGTCTTTTTTAAAATTATGTCAGCAAAACAAGGCGAGGATAACTGAGCATACTGATTTTAGATTAAGCCTACCTTTTAACATGTTAGCATTTTGCTTATACGCAAACTGCCTATTTTTTAATAAAATACACATAAAAAGGGCGGCACCTTTCTCGTTTCACTAACCTTTCTCTTTCACCAGTGAGCAAAGGTGTGGATTAACAGTCATCTGGTGACGACTGAAACTCATATTTGCCTCAGTATCACAGTGGTATACTCATACAGAGATGAATGTAATTGCAGCGTGGGATCCTGCTTCTATTACTACCTGCAAACTTTCTGCCGTCGTTGCTATCCAACACTCACCGTTTCTAGGGAACTGTTGCCGGGCAGAGCGCTCTCGGACAGCGCGAGCCCACTTCTCTGCCTCCTCCAGGTTAGCTTGCGGGTCCTGGAGCGAGGCGAGCCGAAAGCCCTGCTCCACTCTCTGCCGCGATACCCTGGAACTCATCCACCGCCGTTTGAGCGGGTAAAAGTAGGCGACTAAGTACGCTGCCTTATCCGCACTGTCATTTCCCCGGTAAGCCCGGCAGCCGACACAGTCCTTCAGACTGAGCACCACCTTGTTCCGTCCGACAGGTGCCGACGTGAGCCTCTGGACGATGAGGTCCTTCTCGGTCAGGATGACGGCACACCTGCCTTTTCGGTTACTGGTCCCCGTAAATTCCCCGTACAGCTTCACCAGACTGGTGGGCTCCAGTTTAGCTCTGCACTGATCCATCCTGAATAGACGCCGGACCGGAGAGACCGGGACGCAGAGGGGGTCCGGGAAGCAGAAGAAGCAGCCACACAGTCACATAGCTAACGTGAATGATGCGAGCAAAGTAGACCGGAGGACTGACAGGCTGCTCCGGACCGCTGTGAAGACTGACGGAATCAAACGCTACATATCCGGTGACATTTCAAAGTAAGAGCCCCAACACTGAAAGCGTTGCAGCTCCTTGTGGGACGCTGCCTAAGGTTTCAAGTTATCGTTATTTAGGAATTGCCAGGGTTTAGTCCAGGGGTGGGCAATCTCAGTCCACGAGGGCCGGTGTCCCTGCAGGTTTTAGATGTGTCCTTGAACCAACACAGCTGATTTAAATGGCTAAATTAGCTCCTCAACATGTCCTGAAGTTCTCCAGAGGCCTGGTAACGAACTAATCATGTGATTCAGGTGTGTTGACCCAAGGTGAGCTCTAAAGCTGCAGGGACACCGGCCCTCGTGGACTGAGATTGCCCACCCCTGCTTTAGTCAGTGGCTTATAGTCATAAAATAAAAACTTAGATATTTTACGCAGTCACAATATTAATATAAATAAAAATTATTTAACACTACAAAAATGTAAGTTTGTTGTTTTGTTGTGGAGCCATTTCTGGTATTTCATGGATCATATGACTAAATGAAATCCAAATTTTAAAAGTATTTTCAAACTAATAACAGGATAAAGATAAAATAACGATGACTGAAAGTTTAATTAAGAAAAAAAATTAAATATCTCTAAAAAGTAAGATATTCCAATAAAATGTTATTTCTTTTTCCTTTATTGGCAGCTAAAAACAAGTTTCTGCTGTAGAAAAATCAGTCAACTTAACATTGCTTAATCGACTTAAATCAAAAATCTTTTATTTTTTGTTTCGTTTTTACCGAGTTTTTATTTATGCGATTTCATAGATAATGGCATTTGCAGTCCTGGTGAAATCAAAAGCCTGTATTCCTTTAGCTTCATTCAGGTCCGTGAAACATGCACATTTATTTGTTTATTTACAGATATACCCTCATCATCCGCTGTATGTGATTTGTATTACGCAAAATCCAGCTTTTATTTTTAATTCATCCCCACATTTGTCGGTGTTTTTCTTTGTCTGTCCCTGGCTTCATATTCAGATTTCATTGAACTTTGCTGTGCAGTAGTTTTCTCTTGCTGCAAAAGTCGCAGTATGCTGCCCCCTAGTGTTTATGAGAGTGGAGTAACTGTGTAAAATGAAAAAAGTCCCTGAACAAATAAAACTGAACTGAGTAACAATTACGAACAAAACACAAACATAGAACAGATGCGCATCTGTCATCACTGTCATCACAGCAGAAAACCACTGACTACTGAGTCCTGTAATGCAGGTTTTTAAACAAGCACATGAAGAATAACTTAAGAGTTAAAAAAGAAACTACCTGCACAACTTACTTGTCCTGAACACACCTATAGAGAAATGTTTAACATGTTTTTTATGTTTCCTTTGGAGGCGGCTGTGCACTGTAAAAAATCGTCTACAAATTTTATATCAAGTTACTGTAAAACATTTATAGTATTTCTACTGAATTTTAATATATAGTATTATTACTTTATATACCTTTCCAGGATGTAAAAAAAAAAAAACAAACCCAAACAATAAATAAATATAAACATCATATAGCTTGCCAATAAAATAGTTAAGGACATCACTGCTTTAAGTGGCAGCTTGTAAAATAAATTTAAAAAAATACATCTTTCTTACAACCTGGCTTATTTCATTGATGTTTGCAGATTCATTCATGCACAGTTCTCTTACGGTCCTGCCACAGCATTTCAGTCAGATTAAAGTCTTTACTTTCACTGGGCCATTTAAACACCTTGAGGTATTTTAGCCAGTCTGTTGTAATTTTGCTGTTGTGATTGCAATTGTTTCCTTTACCCGACCCAGTTTTGGCCTCATAACTGACCCGTAGAATACTTTAGTACAGCGGTCTCCAACCTTTTTTGCGCCACGGACCGGTTTATGCCCGACAATATTTTCACGGACCGGCCGTTAATGTGTCGCGGATAAATACAACAAAATAAAACTAGTACGGTACCAAAAAAAAAGAAGATTTATTCATAACACATGTGAAAAGACCCAGGAAAACCGAGTAAACGACAAAACGATAACAAAATAACGCTGAAGACCGATAAAAACCATGAAAACCATACATTTCACACCTGAGCCTCAACTCTCGCAGCCTGGTACCAAACGACTCACGGACCGGTACCGGTCCGAGGCCCGGGGGTTGGGGACCGCTGCTTTAGTATGTAGATGAGTTCATGATCTCCTCCACGACTGCAAGGTGTCCAGATCCCGTGGATGCAAAACAAGCCCAAATCCTTACCTTTACACCACCGTGCTTGGTGTGTGTTTGTGCTGATATGCTGTGTTTGGTTTACCTAACATGGCGCTGTTCAAACAGCATTCCCACTTTGTTTTCTTATCTTATTGTCTTATTGTTTGTTTAGATGTAACTGTGCAAACCAAAGACTTGGGCAGTTCACTGGTTAGTGCTCTCACCTCTCTGCAAGAAGTAACTGTTTGGGTTTACACGCAGTCCAAAGTGTTAGTCCTGTGATAGCCGATCGCCCTCAGGTCGCCAGTCTAAGTAGCTAAGGAAATGAATGGATGGATTTTAAAAAATGAGTTTAGCTCAGATATCTCTTTGTGGGCTGAAAAACAGAAACAGAGAGGAGGTCTAAGAGTCTAATTTCATCTGAGACCACTTGTTAAGAAAAACGCTGAATAATTATTGTGAATTAAGGATGCCCTTTTCTGATAATCGCTTGTGGGGCCATTTGGGCCAAGCAAAAAATAATAATAAAAAATAATAATAATAATTCTGAGAAAAAAGTCAGAATTCTGATATTAAAGTCAGAATTGTATAGAATTCTGACTTTTTTCTCAGAATTCTGACTTTTTCATCAAAATTATTATTTTTTTCAGAATTCTGACTTTTTTTCTCAGAATTCAGGAAAAGAAGAAAAAAAAAGACGTGCCCACTTTTTTTTTTCCAGTAGCCCTAATCCTCTTCCGTACTCACGTGATGTGATGCTTTACACACATCGTTTCTTTTGTTGTTGTTGTTTTTGTTTGTTTGTTTTCTGCGCTCTACATACTCAAAAGGGAAATATTTGTCTCTTTTGCTGCTGCACCCTTTTAAACTGCCTGTCTTTGTGTCTGTTTTATGGTCAGTGAGAAGCAGGCAGTCCGTAGATCTACTGAAACCTTCTGGGGAATGCACATTTGTAAAAACGTTAAGAAAACACCTGAGAGTGGATTCCCAACATGAAGAAAAAGCTACCATCATAGTATTTTTCATTTTGATCGCCAGCCTGTCACAGCTCAACTAACTACACGTGGCTTAGGAGGTTCATCTTAGAAGCTCATCTGTAACTGGAAGGTTGCCGGTTCGATCACCCTGCTCTCTCTGTCCTGGTTGTTGTGTCCTTGGGCAAGGCACTTTACCCTATCGCCTACTGGTGTTGGCCATAGGGGCCGATGGCACGATATGGCAGCCTCGCTTCTGTCAGTCTGCCCCAGGGTAGCTGTGGCTACAACTGTAGCTTGCCTCCACCAGTGTGTGAATGTGAGACTGAATGAATAGTGGAATTGTAAAGCGCTTTGGGTGCCTAGAAAAACGCTATATAAATGCAATCCATTATTATTATTACACTATTTTTCATTTTTCCTTGCCACTGGTGTTTCTGTAAGCTGTAACAATCGGTTGTGGCTGAAATGTGGATTTAGGGAGAGCGCAGGAGACAGAACTTTTGCATTCTGAATTTCATAGGATAATATGGTGAAGTTGTAGCCCATGCTTTATGAAGACTCTCCCACGAGCTGGATCGGTACTCGTTCTGGCACTTCTGATACAGCACATGGCCAAGCTGTTCCCACAACAGTTCAGCAGGCCTGTGATCCGGCGACCGCACAGGCCACTGCATGACAGAATAACAGCTCACTGCTTCTTCTCTAAATAGTTCCTGCATAGTTTGGAGCTGTGCTTTGGGTCATTGTCCTGTTGTTTGAGAAAACTGTCTCCAACAAAGTGGCAGCCACAGTGTTTTGGCAAAGGTTTGCAAAATGGAATGACAGACTTTATTGTTCAAGATCAATTTTATCCTGTGCATAACTCGCACTGTACCACCAAACATTTCTTCCATCACCCTCGTCAAATGGAGTCCAGCACTCGTCCAGTATCCGTTTATGTTTTTTCACATTTTGACCCAAATACCTCCAACTTTTATCAAAGATCCTCTCTCCAGTGTCTGTGTTCTTTAACTAGCTTAATTCTTTCCAATCTCAGATATGGCCCATTTTGCAACGTTACAAGTCCAGCATCCAGAACCCATTTCATTAGTGCTGACTTTGAGTCATCATTCACAGGACAAGGACACAAAAGAAGACTCTGGAGACAAGTAGAATTAACAAAAAGTGAGCAGTTTGATTAGACGGCTTGTAAAAGTCCACAAGGGCACAGAAAGGAACCAACAGGGCCGGATAAATGGCTGAACAGGTACTGAGACAAAGAGCAAAGGAATGACAGGACTGTGACACTCACTCACTCACTCACACTGAGGGCTAATCAATAGAATGAGATGCTGTGGAAACAAGACAAAGGTGAAACTAATGAGGATAACGGCACAGAGGAAGTAAAAATAAGTGCAAAACACAGGAGATACACGACTACCAAAATAAAACAGGAAATAAGAAACAAAAACTGAAACAGGTGTTCACAGAGACTTTCCACAATGGATGACTACGGATGAAACACTGAAAGAACGAATAAACTCAAACTGGTAACAGAGAAAAAACACCCAGAACATAAAATTAAGAGAATACAAGTGAAAAAGCTTGAAATCACACCTACACAATAAACAACATTAAGGACAAGACACCCTGAAATCCAAAAACAGACAATAATTCTGTTTTTGGATTCATACATTTCTAAAGCGAATAAAACCTCAGATTCAAATCCCAGGATCATGACACTTTGATGGGTATTTTATGTATTGAAGCTTTTGGCTGAGAACTTGTTAGGTCACCTGTTTCTTTAACTGGAG